CAAAAAGAACTTTATGTTAGTGTTTATCCTTACCCTGGTGATAGTCTTTTTTACTCCTCCCCCTTTTATGTTTTTTTCTGTTTCATTGTATTTTACTCATCTTTGTTGTCATGCGAAATCCCTATTTAAGTATTGTATTTTCTGCAGTATGCACCATGTTGAGATGCAGCGAAATCGTCCTGAACATAAATCGTGCAGTATTGCAATATGGTCTTTTCTTTTCAAATTGATCTCGAGAAAGGCTTGCTTCAATGTACTAAATACCATGAAACCGACCCATGTCAAGCAGTATAAATTGACTAACCAATTTGTTCCCTCAGACTCGAGCATTTCTATTATAACAATAGTGCTCTTGTCTTGAATGTTTTCCCCGGATCTCACCAAGTCCCCTCTGGCTCACAGCAATGAACGAGGTGGGTATGTGGCAATCGACCGATCACTATTCAATCGAGGCAATCACTTGAGTAGAATGGATGTAATTTCACTTTCAAGAGACATGGCAAATCACTTTGATAACAGCAATCGTAATGTAGATCATCATCGTCCGATTGATGCAATTTTAAGTGAGTAACCGCACCCAACCGTTCCCGTGTGTCTCATTGCAGTCTCTTCCTGATATTCGATACAAAATACACGTAAAACAAAATGAATCATAGGACGATCGTGAGAGAGAGATTAAGATTGCCTTTAGTAAGTTCTGAGGCCTATATTAAGCCAACAGCTATCATTTTTCCTTTCCAATTGACAACTGTTAGTATTGCTTTGGATTTCGGGTTATTCATGAACTGTGATTGGTTTTGATTTGTCAGACTCTCTCGTCACGACAAAGCCTCAGCTGATCTGGGAAAGTGATAATTTTATTTTCTTATTTTTCTTAACCTTTTTAAACTCCCTCATGTAATACATAATCTTGCAACCGTTTTTAATGTTGAGTCTGGCGATCAATCAAAGAGATGTCATACAATACTAACTAAATGGAGGAAGTTAAGCGGTCGTTTTGAGGTTCGAACACACCAATCCCATAGCGATGCGATGATAACACCATTTTTCGACTGCCGTTTTTCAGAGCTAACCAGTCTGTAAAAATATGCTTGGCTTTATCTTTCTGTATAGGTTGATGAATTGCTGGAAAGTCCAGACGGTGACGTTATTTATCAGTTGGGGGTACTTCTGGCCAAGAAGATGGATATTGCCATAGGTGAAGATGGGGCACTGCCTTCGTGGTTTCCACGTGTTTCGGCCCCTGCCAGGGCATTGGAACCACATGACAATATTGTGGTATCAGACTCCATGAATAAATCCTCTGGTGTTCATCAGCCACCTCCAACTGCCTCAGAATCTCCTGTTATGGAACCGTGGGGTGATGATGGATTTGACGATGCGATGCTCAATCAAGCCGCTCAAAATTTAGAGGAAAATCTCACTCGACCTGCTCTAGATTGTATGAACATCTCCGGTGAGTTCAATTCTCTAAGGATATTTTTGAAAATTCAAGAGACAGATGTACAACTGGATGCTGATTGAGGGGCTGTCGGGAAAACGACTAAGTGGGGCTAGTTTTACAGTGATGAGTGGGGGATTCGAACATACCAGGGTTTGACAGATGCAGTGTTGACGAATTCCGGTCGATAAATGCCATTCGAGAGCTCGGAGCGATGAGGCACTTGTAGGCTTTGGTTCTAAGTGTCTCCTAATCTACCTGCAATGAGGTTCACACTCGTCGTCATACTGTGTTGGAGATGCCAGCAACTGAACCAGCATCACGATGGCTTATTTTCTGTCCACATTGGGTACGCCTAAATGGACTGGGCAAAAGGGGTTTTGAGATAATATATCACCGGCTTTTTTGTGAAAAACACTGGGTTATAAAATACTATTTTATGTTCTGATGATGCCTTTCTCTATTTGTCATCGAACCGCAACAGTCGTGACTGACGCATAAATTCACAGACACTAGTACACAGACTCTGTTCTCTGTGAATGTGCGTAGAGTTAACTAAAAATATTCAATTCACATAACCATGAGCTGAAATAAGTCGATCGTTGGTCGGGATACAGATTCTGGCTCCCACAAATGATGGTTCATGGTTCGAACTCTGGCTGGTACACAGGAATAGTATCCCCTGCTGACGAAATCCAACAACAACCAATCAATTGTCCTCTGTCGGCTTTAGCAAAAATACTTTGACAAAATAGAAAGAAAGCTACATAATTGGCTTGAGATCAGGTAGCAAGGCTCTCGGTTTATGTGCACTGCACTTCTCTTGTTCACTCATCTACCTATCTTAAGGTTTCAATTGGCCGAGAACTATCTCTATAACAATAGTGCATAAACTCATTCTTCCGTTTCTCACGGGTTGGCGTTTTTAATTCACAGGCTTTCATCAAAACACTTGGTGGTTGTTTGCTAAGGAGCCGAATACAGAACGGAAGCACGCTCGCTTTTTATTGCAAACTTGTTTGTGTGATGAACGGCAGATGAAATGAACCGCATAAGCACTGTTCACGCATGATAACCGATTGCATAAACCCTGGGAGTTAGAGTATCGAACCACAAATGCCTCGTTTGAATAAGTGATATTTTAAGTCGAGTGAAGCAATTGCTTTATTTTACCGACGAGTGCTGCCAAATGCTATATATATATATATGATCGCTCAGGAACACAATATTCTGGATGATGAAGTTGATAGGAGGGTTTGTGAGTCACCATGTGATACATGTATTCTTAAGGAACTAGTTTCCCTAATTAGATATTCCATGATGATAATTGTTGTCGGCTGGGTCAAGTTCACCTGATTCTTTCCATATCTCGACATTTGGTCTTAGCGACCATCTGCATGATTGCTTTCATTGGGGTTCCCCTTCTGTCTGCACGCTTGAAGTGTGTATTTACACCTAGGACTTTCCTAAACCGCCACACAACAAAATGTTCTGTTTCATGAAGCACGGCTAAATTTGTTTTCGTTTGTTTAATCTGTGTGAAACCGTGAAGCGATTAGTTTGAACTAGAATGAATGTCACTTGTGGGCGAGACGCAAGGCTGAGAACGGAGTGGTGAAAAGATAGAAACAAAATTCAGATCCACCAGCTCGGAAATCTGTGACCACGGTTCACTGTTTTTATAAGTGGTCTGGTCCGATTATGATACCGCCTACTCAGTTCAGTCTGCTGGAAAAGTGATGTTCCGCATTTGATGGATTGTTCCGGGTTATCCGGGGAGGGGATTTCATTCCCGACGTGACTGCTGTTACCACTCAGACAGTATCAATCTCTCAATAACAATATATATGTTCATTGTTCGGACAGATCAGGTTTTCAATTTCCTCACCATACAGATGGAAACGTAACCAAATAAACCTGTCATGTTTCAACGGGCAGTCTCACCTCTAACAATCATACTCACTGTGCGATGAGTGTGATTTTCCTACGTCCTAGTGATAACATTCTTTAGAATGACACTAAGAATTCAAATGCCTTATTCCTATTATCCAATTAGCGGGATAAATTTTGAAACTTTCGTTTGACCGTTCAAAATCAAACACGCAAATCAGTTGCTATGGCGTGGTGTACGCGTTTCCCAAGAGCTCTTCCGGAACATTGTATTGTACGAACCATCAAATACTATAATGTTCTTGGGTTTACACGTGATTGTATTCACAAATGTTTTTCGTTTCGATGTGCCATGTCAGGNATTCCATCTAATCCAGTCCAGTATAATACGGATCACTTCGTCTATTCTCCGATCAATTTTAGGAACCAAAGCGCCCGTGGTTAGTGGTTATTGAGAAGAATCATGAGTTACTGGTTCTTCCGGAGAATACTAATTACTGCTCTACTAAAACGCATTGGAAGCTTTCGGAATTTGGAGTTTCAAAACACGAGGCTAAATTTCCGCAGATGTGTTGTACACTTATCTAGGTCCGAACCGCATATCGTGCAAATCAGGATACACATGTCTTTACAACATACGAAGCTATTCATGATTCATAACTAGTTAGTCAAGCTAATGCAGGCTATTGACTCTTAGAGTCACAATTGATTCGGGGAGCTACTCAAATCCTGAGCTGCAAAGTAGTGGGATGGGTTTGAAGGTCGTGCTACTTTGAGCGCCGATTACCGATCCGTTGGATCGTATGTTCACTGGGCTCTGTTCACGTATTCTCTTTGCTGTCCTGATTGCCAGGGTGTCCCTGGGCTAGTTTATCGACCTCTCATGGAAGGTTGCAAACCAGTGCTCTATATGTTATATTCCCGTGTCCTTTCAGCGGTTTAGAATTCCAGAATTACTGCTTATTGGTCTGAGTATGGGTCACTTGAAGCGTTTTTGCTTCTTTGCGGTTTAATATTCCAAGTTGGAGTTTGTTCTTTCTTACTATTCAAAAATGATTGTTTAAGGAAATCGGTTTGAACAATACTGCAAACATTAGTTGGTAAATTGACGATTAGCACTTGTTCCGAATACCGACCTCACTCATGATTTTACATTCCCCGCTCAGATGAAGTTTGCAGTTGGTGCACAGGACTGTAACAACTGTTCAAGTGGCCACATTGAAACTGATATTTATGCTTTATCTGGGGATGTTTTTGAATTTGTGCTAAAAATTGCCAACAATTAGAATGACCACTTGGTTTGTAGGGATATTTTCTTTACGCTGTCACAATGCGATCTTACCTAGTAGATTTACGTACGAACCAGCGTTCATTTTTAAGTTAGCTGCTTCTAATGAACTCCAAATATTCCTCATCAGATTAATATCTGATGCTGCGTTCAGCTTAGTCTACTGACTATATGCGCATCTTGAGTTTCACAAATGTGACGTGTGTACAGATATATTATTCTCTGGAACGCGCAGACATCCACTTGATTTTCTTGAATAAAGGACAATAGGAAGATTTAAAAAGTGTTTGCGTCTGATAGCCGAGATCCAAACACGGTGCAGATCAGCCAGCTCTGTTCTGCCATGTGAGGAATAAGGAAACACAGCAGATGCAAACAATTGCCGAACGGTCTGAAATCGAGAATTTTCGGCTCCTTGCTCATGTCGTGCCAACAGGGTAGGGTAAGCTCTCACGATTGTCGAGATCGAACGTTTCCTCATCACCAAAGACTTCTGTCCACCGCTATTCAGTTCTGTCCATCTGGTGCGCTCATGTATGTCAGTTTTTATGACACGTGTATCAGCTTCTAGTTATGACATGCACGTTATGGTTTTTCTCGTAATATCCTTAAGTAGACAACCATACTGTTTGAGGCGTCCAGTGTTGATCCATTGGTGCACTGATTTGAAACGAACTGTAGCAACCGTCTGTGCACGTGTTTCTTGATCTCTTCAATCTTCTTTCTTCTTTTCTCTCATCTGCATTGACGGTGGCGTATTTATTTGTAAACTTGAAACTGCTCGATCTTCTCACTGTTTTCCTCGCTGGTTTTTATTTCCACATTGGGGAAAACATTACTCGCCTTGGGAGTTGGATATCGGTTTCTGCACTAGTCATGACCGGCTGTATAAAACTGATAGCCAGAGTAGGAGCTTTGATTGCATTCATTGTCGTGTTCATAGCTGCCTCTCTGATCTGATGAAATTTAAAAGCAGATAGGCAACCCGTTTATCAGACGCAGTTACGAAACCGTTTATAGTTGTCTACGTTGTGTTAGAAACCGTTTCAATGTTACTCATCTCGAGGTGGTTATTCAAATAGTTCGCACCCAGTTTTCGCTTATTTGTTCCCGATTTTGTCCAAACGCAAACAAAATGTGATATTTTTTTTGATGTTTCGTTGTTTCACATCATTTTTCACCTGCTTGTCATAGGTGAACACTAAAGCTAGTAATATGCGTACTCTTTGTGTGCGATTGGCTCTTGTGTCATGCAGTTCGCACCGACTGCCTCAGTATCAGTGCCATCAGACATTAATCATTTTAAAGTTTTCTTCCGCTTTTACCTGACGTGAACCAATTACCATACGACACTTAAATTCTAGCCTTTACAATGACCACCTAGAAAGTGCATTATGCCTAGAATTTCCCGTCTCGACAGTAAAGCCTGTCCTATTAACTCGATAAGCTCGCTTTGATGTTTCGCTCCACAGCCTCGCCCCGATCAACGAACACACTGGTAAGAAATACCTTCTCTCCGACCGTGTCTACCGCTGTGGATGAATTTGATCGCTCACTGGAAGACGAAGTCGACCCGGATGTGTTTGCAGAAGCCATGCATGAGCTGGACAGCACACTTGCTAATCCACCGAAAAAGACCATAGCATTAGTCGAGGTCGACAAGCCGGAGCGTGACGATAACCCGGCCTGCACATCTCGTCCGCTTTTCTTCGATTCAAAATCCGAAACTGACGTGAAACCGACGCCAAAATTAACATCTTCATCAAATGCAAAAGAATCCGATGATCTTCTGCCCCCGGCGCCGAAACGGAAACCGTGGGAGCGTAAAACACCGAATCCCTCCCGAAAGATGATCCCAGGGACCTCTAGTGCATCTCTCAAACCAGATTTATTCCAAGAGCCTCTTCAAATAATTCCAGCGAAGGATTTGAAGTTTCATCCGTTTTGTTACATTGATGTAAGTATCGCGTTTGAATCTTCCGTCCATCTTCCTCGAGTCTAACCAGTATGTTTTATGTTTAAAGTTATCTCAAATCGTTCATGCGAGGGTCTGTGTGGTGTTAATCTGCTACGGGTTTTACTTATTGCGAGTTGGTCATTTCCCTAAATATGACTGTTCAATAGCAACACGTAGACCCTGGTGTCTTTGAGTTTGTCTTCAGCGATACAAATTAAGTGATGCTCCAGTTCATATTAATTTCCAATCAAGGTCAATTTTTTGGCTCCTAAATGTTTCTGTTCGAGCCCTAACAGCGGCACAAAATTTTTACGCACCGATTACGATTCCAGACAAGGTCTCAACAGCTCTCCAGTGCCATCTGCGTTCATCACCTCATTCCACCACATATCACACGTTTCTCATTTGTATACGCAATATTCACAGTCGAACAAAGAAGAGATTTTGTAGCCATCTCTCCTCAGACTGAATCTGTCAGCATGTACCTCCAAATGATTTTTTTTAACGTTCAATTCTTGGGGATTTCGATGGTTCATTTGACTGTAACCTTCACTCTGCTAATGTGCACACATCGAATCTGTTCCATCAGGATATGTACGAAGAACTTCTCCGAGCCAGTTCCAACTCATCTGCGCCACCGCGGAAAGTGTACACCATTCGCGGTTTGCTGATCACATTGTTATCCCCACTGGAGCATCACCAGGGGACTCGGTGGACTTTGGCCGCCCGCCTCGCAGACGGTAGTGCAGTGGTGGATGTGAATATCTCATCTGATTTGCTAACCGAATGGATCGGTCTAACCGCAGCGGAGAGTGAATCACTGTGTCAGCTGAGCCGTGCATTAACCACAGGAAGTGGAACAGGCACTAATCCTGTGGCCATACAAGAGGTGAGTTCTTGTTAATGTTGTTGTTATTGATATTGTAAATTGCATGTACTGGGCTACTTGAGTGGCTCTCGTTACCCAGTTTTCCAGCATTTGCTCTGGTAGCTATCTGTCAAATGGGGTGCTGATGTTGTTAGACTATTTTATATTACCTCAAATGAAATGTCAAGGGGTTAACTGGTTGCCTGTTCATATCGTACCACACTGATTGGATGAAAATATGTTCCCGGTGGTTTCATTCGCCAGGCTTTAAATGCATATCTGTTTGGAGCAGCAATGTAGTGGTATTAAGGAGGAAAACACTCGAACTCAGTTCTTTTGTTGCTAAAGGAAGCGAGTAAGATCCGATGAATCTCAAATTCATGCCCACCTGGCCAACGAGATAAGTTTATAGCGAGCATTGTTCCTGCAGTGTTCAACTCCTAAACCGAAAGCTCGCTATTCAAATTTGGAGTGGTTCAGAAATGGTGCGCATTGTTTACGAGCCCCTAGAACTAAGCAGCTGTTCAGCACTCTTTGTCGGTTATTAAACAAATTTCACTAATACACAATGTGGTTCAGTAAGTATGCACAACGCATACTGGTTACCATCAGCAATAATCTATTAAAACGTCCTTAAAGAAAAACTTTTTAATCCTTGTGTTCGTACTTATGCTACCACATCAATATTCTATGAAAAAACTGTTCTAATTAAGGAAACATTCATAAGTTAGATTCTTTGGGGTTACTTTCATCCTGAGACAAGATTCCTCATGATCACATGATTGTTTATTCATTCATTACTCTGGACGACCGTCTGTGGGTTCTGGACTGAGAATGCTTAAGTGCTTGCGAAAATTTGTATTTGGACACATGGACTTTGGTTGGGCAAACTGACTAATCTCAACTGCTTCTTTTGTGATTAGCATTTGACAATGAATCTGCCTTCTTGTACTCATTTGCAAGCAGAAAACTACCTCCACCACGTTCATAGTGTGGTTTCTTGCAGTCGGTTTCACTGTGTGATGAAAAGCAGAAGGAGTACACCCTTCGGTCTCTAGAACCTACTGTTCACTTGTGAAGACCACCACGCTGTTTTTGCTCTGTTTTGTCGGATCGTTGATACAAATGCTGTATTCCCGTTGTTTCGTTACTCGTATCCACAAAGTGATCATGCTTTTGTCTGACTAAAATGACTCTTTTCCGTCGTTTTTTCTCAAAATTCTTCTCAGTTGTCTGTCCGCTGTGCAGAGTATCAAGCCGACAATTGTATTATCTTAAAATGTTTGTTCATTCGCTTACCTCATATGAGTTACTAATACTGAAATTTCCTGTGTGATTTCGTTATGCAAGTCTCTCCCCCCCCTGATTTTCCTGTTTTGTTGCTCTTCCCTCTCCCTTTCGTCCGTCTTACACAGGCACAAAAACATCGGGCTCGCTTGCGAACCGCTCTTGTCAATTGTCAATCGCGTCTATCCAATCTGGCCGGTCTGTTTGATTTGACACCACCTCCACTCGTTCGTACGTCCTTGTGCCAGTCGGATGCCGAGTCGTCCGATCAGGACCGACCTATTCTAGTGGCTTTTCGCGACCTCGATGGCAATTGGTTACGGGAACTACACGATCGCGTGCAATCTCGTGGCACATTTGGCACGCGATCTGATACAACCAATTCCTGACAGTTGCTCTTGTTCCAATCTTGAGGCTAAGGACACCAATTGCATTTATTGTTTACCGATAAAGCATACTCTTATCCTTTGTATAACTTTTTGTTTTTTACCATTGGATTGAAATAGCATCTATCTGCCAACCTTGGTTTTCTCCCCCCTCATGTGATACATATGCAATCGATATAGTCAGGTGCCATATGGAAAACAATGAAAGAGCCTTTCGGATCACACCCACCGTGCCTATGTCTTCCATTATTAACTCTCAGACCATCAGACCTGTTACATACGGTTTCCATAAGAATAACGTAATGCTGTCCGGCACACTATGTCATGTGCTGAAGCCTTCAGCCATCGTTTACGGAATTGTCTGCTCTCTGAGGTGGCCACTATAGGGCTGATGAATCAAATTTGAAGTCAAAAGGCTACTTTTAGACGAAGTGTATAGAACCAGAATGAGGAATTGAGAAAACTGCGTACCTGCGACGAGTGAGTTCATTGCGCCTTGGATTACACTCCTAAGGGTGAACCTTGAGGTAAACAACCACTCACTGGTCTCGTCAAACTAATAATACCGTAATTTGTGTCAGGGCAATGCCAGCCCTAATAATCAGCTTTTCTATCGGGCCATCTGGGAAAATGTCAACATTATCGGTCGGTAAACCTTTGCTACCCGTTTACCTGACCACTTCATATTCATCCCCCACTTTAAGAGGTTTCAGATTGGCGGAAGAAAGAAGCACCTATGGTATAGTCATTGCGGTTCTTTGGGAGCACAGACAAATTGCCTGCCATTCGTGTCTACCTCTCGTTACTACTTTCAGTTTTTTCTTCAGTTTAATTCCTCCTCGTCAAGCGACTAAATGTGTACCTGAAAGATGATAACCAAATAGGCAAATTGAATTCCGCGACAACTTTTTATGTGAGCTACTCAGCACAAAACGGGAATTAGATAGTTTGATGACAGTACTAGTTTGTGAGTATCTTTGCCAACATTTCTGAGTCTCTGCATTGTATAAAAGCTACATTTACGACATGATTTGTCCATGAAATCTTTATATGGCAGATGCTGTGCTGTCGCACACGTTAAGAAGAGCTCACACCAAATTAGATTACTCTTGTAAAACAGGTTACGCACAGTAGAATGTTTTATTAAATTTTCCGTTAAACAACTACAAACAAAATGATGTCACTCAGTCACCATCCAATCAATTGAAAATTTTCAGAATCAAGATACTTTTCAATTGACTGGAGTCTGGTCATCGTGCATCAACCACTCAGCTCACCAAATACGGTCGACTAGTTCGGCCATGAGGTTTGTTGGTAATACCGGATCCACGATCGAGGTCATCGCAATCCAATTGGATCAGCTTGCTACCTTTCGTCAATTCAGAAAGAGTTTGAAAAGTATCACATTTACCTGGGCTACCAACGATTAGTTTGATGTCAAATTTGAGATTTAACCATTTTAATCAAAGTATAACATTTGCCCACTGAAGTACCTGACAATTGGCATCATTCCACTGGCAATGAAATGTTGTGATGTTCCTTTTCCCATTCGCCTACCACTAAACTGTATCGAGATTAGCCATTTCTAAAAGCAGCGCTATATGCTGATCATTTATGTTTGCCGTTTCTCACCAGATTTGCACCAGTACGGCACCATAAAAACGGCAAATGTGTGACATTGGCGTTTAGCCTTATACTGATAGAAAGAGGATGTTCGTTGCCTGGTGAAACTTATATGAATGTTCTGTTTGGAAATAGTTATCCCATTGATTAGGAAGCAGATTATTTGTTCAAGCATGTCCAGTGACAAAAAATTGTCCTTATAACAGTCGATCGAAACAATAAATTCAGATTGTTTTGTCAAGCTTACAACCGATTTGTGTATGTCTTGTCTTCTCATTCCAGACTCTATTGTCCTCTCAAGTCAGCACACCAGCATTTGGGTTGTTGATGCTACTGTGAATTTATTTACGGCCCTCCGTGCGATTTATGCAAATATCATATGGCAACTCAATCCGCTGATATTCGCTATTGGTCAGGAAAAAAGTCATTTTTGGAAATAACTATCTTCAGCCCATTTACTTTCATCATGGTATCGTAGTACATGTAATGTATATCACCAGAATCAACCAATTCTTCGACTACTCAGAGTAGTATGGTACCATGCTTGTTGAAAACAAATTAATTCGTATATCATTGAGCAGAGATTTTCCCGATGAACTCCAAAATGCGCTGCAATACAAATGATACAATATTCGGGTGATTCGTTTCACTGACTATTAGGCTTTCATGAGATTCTTCAGACTGCGATTTAAAAAAAGACTTTTCGGAAGTATCGTTATGATTTTACTGGATCCCGGTGCCATGCATCCAACTTTCACTCCACGCATTTCAGAATAAGTTAGTTTCTCTTGGAACTAATCTGCCGAGTGAAATTTTCATATCACAACTTTGCGTCTACACTCTTGATCAAATGGTTAGTTTTCGCAGACAGTTGACCCACAATTTAAATTGCGCTCATGCCGTTGGTGGGATTCGAGTCCATTTATGGATGCCGTATACACCTTCACTTGACGCTCGCCGAATAAATGGGTCATACACGAAGTTGAATGAGCTAGCTACGAAAGACTGAAAGGTCAATTGGATACGTCTGCTGATGGCATCACCGTTATCTCGGTTAGAGGGGCTTATTTCTCAGTTCCTTTAAGCAGTCCCTCAACATACTTACATACGACTGGATGTAAACGACAGTGTTTTATTTTTGGAACTTACCCATGTTTAAAAGTAAATTAAATTAATCAACTCCCGATGTAAAATTAAACAAAGAAGACAACACTGCAAGTGAGCACGATTTGATACCGGAATCATTTCGCTGCAGCTCAGCAGATGCTAACTACATTATACAAAACGGTTTATACATCACCGGTGTGCCACAAAGCTGTCTACATGTGAGTTTTCGTTATAACTTGTGGGTTACTTTGTCTCTGATAGGTTTAGCATTTTATTTTCACTCGTCATACCGACAGAAAGCAGTGACATTTGTTCTCTGAACTGAACTGAGCCTTTGAAGACATTCGCAATTTCACATTATTTATCAACTGTTCTGCAGTGACTGGCTTCTCCCGGATCCCATTCACTCTGAATCGACCCAGATTGAAGAACACACTGCGTTTTATCACTGTTCAGATGGTCCGCTTATCGCTTTGGCGAGAGAAGACGGCCCAATCCCTCGCATGGTTCCCAAAAACTCAGACGTGACGCGTTCAGTCAGACCGAATATTTTTTGTCATCATCCCTTAAATCTATCTTACCGGAACTGAAAACTGTGACTTCATTTTCACGCGCACCAAAAGGTCGAGACAAAGCAGTTGACTTTCCACGCGATGCACACAGGCCATTCAGGGAGGTATGTGAACGAAGCTGTGAGTTGTGATCACCTGTTACCATTTGGCACAATTTCATCGGATAGAAGTGCAAATGAACTGCGAATGATATGGGTACTCAGAAATTGTTACCAGCTTGGTTAACCGCCAGATATTTCCAAATAATCAGGTCAGAATGACTATGTTCCTAGGCAGCATACTCCATGTCGCACACTGTCCAGCAGCATGGACTCGAGGTTTTCAAGGTGCATATAGAAATAGTAACTAAAAATCACAGATATATGGAGTTATTGCAGCTGCGTAACTTGTGACTTCGTAATTAACCGCATCGGTGGTGATTGTTCGTTTTGGCCTCAACTCTGACAGAGTGCTTCCCAGCTTTTCAGGTCACGCCTGATTTAAACGACGAATGCATCATCTATAATCAAATCAAATCAAGTCCTCCATTCCTATCATATAACGAGGTTCTTTTTAACTCTCAAAACCGAAAACTTATCAAACAGAATGGATTCGAGTCCATAGTTATGAAGAAAAGTGATTGAGTTTCAGGTGAAAACTCGTATCACAATAGCCGTTTTACTCTTGCTCTTATTTGTTAATTGGCTTATTTACTGAGTGCCCAGTGATTAAGATTTGACTTGCGCAAAGGCTGGAAGCGTGAAACAAACAATATGAAGCGTCGGATTAAATTAGGGATCACGGTCACCTCAAATTGCTGGAAGATAAGTTCTTGACCAAAGTGTAATATTGAAGCAACCAGTCTTATAGTGTGCGCTATTCCGAACGTCCGTATGACCAGCACTGTCCAAGATTCAAAGCAATGGTGCTTAAACTGCATGTTATTTGCCCAGACGGAAAATACAGTGATTGCGCTACGCTGATGTGCGTGTGTTGCTCTCCTCCTCCCTGGAAATCAATCAATCAAAGGGATCCGCCAGTTCTCCGTCTCTCTTTGGATATGCCAACATTTCATTTTATTTCCCAGTTTCACCTTTTCTGTTGTTCAGGCCAGTCCCTCTTTAGATTTATTTTGCAAACCATTTTTTTCTTTTGTGACTGACCTGACGTTAAAATTGTTGTGGTTTTCACAGAGGAGAATTCTGACATGTCCCCGTTTTTGTCTTATATGAGCGTAACTGAAGCATTATTTAAGATGACGGACATGCGTACGACCCTTTTTTACCGTGGTGTTTGTCTATGCCAAATATCGCGTCATGTTTTCACATTCCCGATTGAGAAAAATGAAGGAAATACGAACACCTCGACGGCTCTAATTTCTGTGTGAGTTTACAAACGATTGACTGTATTCAAGTTTCGGCCTAAAATACATCACACTGGATTCAGCATCCTATCTTTGCGTACAATCGAATACGGCAGAGATAATCCACAGGAGGACCTCGATATTCAGTTTTCGAAAGAATCCAAAGGCGTTCGAACTAGACAGCGGTCGGAACAGAAACAACAAGAATATGCCTGATTATTGTGAAATTCTCAGTAAAACTCCTCATCCCAGAGAAAAAGGTATCCTCACACTCAGACTGGATAGGAAAACTCCCTTTTGATCCGGGTGAATCTTTTATTGGAACACCGTGAAATGCTTACTTCTCTCCCGATTCTCGG